TTTCAGGAAGACCTGAGTTCAAATCTGGCCTCAGATACTTAATAGCCCTGTGACCTGGAGCAAGTCACTAAACTTCTGTTTGTCTGTTTTCCTATCTGTAAAATGGGGATAATAATAGTACCTACCTGCCATGGTTTTTGTGAGGATCAAATGAAATAATCATTGTAAAACACTTAGGACATTGGCACATAGTAAATGCTATATAAATGTTAGCTATCATTATCATTATTATTATTATTATTATTATTATTATATAAGATTTCCTTGACAAACACAGCCTCAGACATGAAGAGTTATAACAACAGCCCTCTGATTATTCATGTCAGACAAGGCACAAAATGGGATACATATGATTACCCAAGATGTTCACCATTGCCAGACAGAATATTACAGAATGAACCCTAATACAGTAGAGATTCCTTATAAAGGATAAGGTCCCCCATCTACTCCTGTTGCATGGATGATATTGTGCAGATTGCATCAATCCGTAGAATATTAACAAGGCCTCCTCCATATGAGTTGCAAATATTCAAAAGAGAAAGTTCTGATAATCTGTAGAGGAAAAATTAAATGGATGAAAAATACCTATTGTCCAGACTATGACATGTAGTTGCAAGGTCAGGTCACTTTGTCATCTGGGATATCAACAGCAAGTGAATGCATTGAGTCAGAATTACCCAAGAGGAAGAGAGCAGAATAGATTGCACTGAGGAAAATATGCATTTCTTTTCATGTCCCAAGAGAGTTCCCAGTATAAAAGCCTAGCTTTCTAACCTAAATGGTCTCTCATTGTGTGGTTACAAATCTTAGAACATCATGCTCTCTGAAAAATCAAATGGCAGATGACCAAAAGTTTGAAAAGAAGAGATGGGCTCAAGCAAGCTACAGCCTATATCCAGTGATGACCTACGTATAAGCAGTATCTTAACAAAGGTATCATTCGTGATATCTGATCAGAAAATGAGATAGACTTGTCAAGTAGCAAGGTGAATAACCTCAGTTCTACATTGGTGTCCACCAAACATAGAATGACCTAGAGAAAAGGACCCAGCATATTGAGTAGACCACCCTCTATGGAACATGGACAAGAATCACAGAGGATGAGAAGGCACAGATGAGTTGCATTCTATACCAAAGCAGGAAATACCCACATTGATGAGCTTATAAATCCCATGATATGCAACAATGATAGTGACAGCTATTATGATAATAGCCAGTATCCATATAGTGCTCAGAGCAATCCTCTGTGGTGGAGAATGTACAGGTATTATTGTCCCTATTTTACAAATGAGGCAACTGAAGCTCAAAGTTTAAATGCTCATGGCTACATTGCTAGCAGGGGTCAGAGGTAGAATTCGAATTCAGCTCTGGCCTAGCTCCAAGTTCAATCCTTTTTGCTCTGTGTCACCTTAATGACCCTCGAGTTATTTTCCTTGGCCTGGTTTCACTGATCACCGAGTAAAGCAATATGCTTTAAAGCAACCTGTATTTCCTGCTTATTACTTATCTTATACAAGATTACCATTGTTGGCTCTCAGAATGTTTATCTGTATTTATTTAATCAGCCAACATTTATTTTTTAATTAATTAATTTTTAGTTTTCAACAATCTCTTCCATAAGCTTTTGAGTTTTAAATTTCCTCTACCTCTGTCCCTAAGACAGCATGCAATCTGATATAGTTGGCCAATATTTATTAAGCCCCTGTTACGTGCTGGGCACTGCCCTCAAAGAGTATATTATGTAGTAGCAGAGTTAGGGGCAGCTAGCAATAGAGTGCTGGACTGCAAATTGGGAACACTCATCTTCCTGAGTTCAAATCCAGCCCCAGACACTTACTAACTGTGTGATACTGGGCAACTGACTTGACCCCATTTGCCTCAGTTTGCAAACCACTCCAGTATCTTTGCCAAGAAAACCCCAAATGGAATCACGAAAAGTCGGATATGAATGAAATGACTGAACAACAAGCAGAAATAAGGCATGTTTAGAAAGGAAATTAACATAGAATGTATTACACGAAAGGGTTATGAGCAAGTGATGTGAAAATTCATAAAAGAGAGAGATAAATACTACCTTTTTTTCTCTGAGGGCTTTCCTGATCTCCTCCTACTGGACACTGATATGGGCTTTGAAACATTTGAGCAGTTAAAGAAAAAAGGACATCCTAGGTATATAGAGAGGTGACAGCATGGACTGTATTTAAGGGATGGTGAGTAATACATTTTGGTTCAGGTATACTGTGTGAAGGAGATAACAGTAGTTTGGAGCCCTATAACAGAGGTCCTTGAATGCCAGACTAAGCTGTTTAGACATGATTTCTTAGGCAGTGGGAGTCATTAGAGGTTTATGAACAAGAAAGTGATATGAAAGTAGTAGGAAGATAAATCTTACAGTGGTGTGAAGGATGGATTTGGATTTGAGAAAAGAAAGAGAGCTGGGGATGGGTGGAATAAAAAACAATTAAGAGGCTATTTTAATAGTCCAGATGAGTTAATAATGAAGGTCTGACCTAGAAGACATCAGTGGCTGCAGTAGATTTTGCTGAGGTGAAATTAGCAGGACTTGGAAACTTGATTGGATAGTAGGAGCCTAGGTTCAAGATAATAAGATTTACATATTTCAAGCATGCAATGCTTAACAGGAAATTAGGTTTTTTCTTCAAGGTAGCTGGAATTGTGAATTAGAAACCTCCAGGTAGAGGTCTGGTCTGGAAATAAGGTTGAAGCTGTGGTAGTGAATGAGATTGCTAATGGAGTTGCTGTCAGGAAAGAAGAGCCGAGGCCAAGGATAGAACCATGTGTTTTAAGAAAGGAGGAGAAAAAGGATTCATCAACGAAACAGACAAGTAGAAGAAAATGAAATGAAAATTTAAAAAGTGGAAAGGAAAGGGGCCTACCAGTACCCTATCTTAAACTATATTACAATGAAGTAATTCTCAGAGCAGTTTGGTACTGGTTAAAAAATTGAGAGATTGACCTGTGAAATAGATTAGGTACACAGCATACAAACAAACCTGGGAGTTCAGTCAAGACTCACTATTGTATAGAAACTACTGGGAAAACTGGATAGCAACATGGCAGAAATTAGATTTAGACCCACACGTCATACCCTATATCAAGATAAGATCCAAATAGATATGTGCCCTACATATAAAAGGTCACATTATAAGCAAATTACAGAAATGGAAGAATTAATTTTCCAGGTTTAAGGATAAGAGAAATTTGTGACCAAAGAAGGGGTACAGTGATCACAGAAGATAGAATTGACAGTTTTGATTACATAAAATTAAAAAGGGTTTGCACGAACAAATCCAATACAGATAAGTTTAGAAGAGAAACGGTTTTCTGACTGAGTTTACAGGTCTGGGGCATGAAACTTTTGCAGCAAGTTTCTCTGCTAAAGGTCTCATTTCCAAGATATATAAGGAACTGATTCAAATTTATATGAGTAAGAGCTATTTCCCAATTGATATGGATATGGACAGACAGTTCTCAAGAGAAGAAACCAAGGCTATTTATAGCTATGTGAAAAAGTGCTTCAAATCAGTAATAACTAGAGAAATGCAAATTAAAACAATTCTGAAATTCTACTTCACACTGCTGAGATTGGCAAAGAAGACAAAAGAAGAAAATGACAAGTATTGGAAGAGCTGCAGAAATAACAGGCAGGCTGATGCACTTATGAATGGGTCCACTTGTCCTAGAAAGCAACTTAGAATTATGCACCAAAAAAGAAGTGTGTGCCCTTTGACCCAACTATACCGCTCCCTGTGCCTATATCCCAAAGATATGAAAGGAGAGAAAGATCCTCTATGTACAAAAATATTTATAGTTGCTCCTTTTGTGGTGGCAAAAAAGCTGAAAACTAAGGGGTACTCATCAGTAGGGGAATGGGGAACAGGGGGACAAATTGTGGTATATAAGTGTAGTGGAATAAATACTTTTGTGCTATAAGAAATGAGGGAAAATGAGGTAAGAGAAAGAAGAGCATGCACCATAGTGGAAATCCAATGTGGATAGAGAATACCCAGAAGAGTGATTGATAGACATGTATACAAATATAACTTTTTATATGTCATAATGAATATGAAATAGAGTATATTACATAAAAGAGTTGTATCCACAGGGTCAGTAAAAAAGGCCAAGGACTAAGGAAAGGTCATTCACTGAATTTGTAAGTTAGTTGGAGACTAAGTGAGTGATCAGTAAGGAAATGGGGTGGAGTAGAGGATGTTTTTTCGACTAATTTAGCATTAAATTAAAGAGATATAGAGAGGTAGTTTAAAAAGAAATTAGGATCAAAAGAAGGTTTTTGTTTCAATAGGGAAGTTCAGTGTATGTGTATGGATAGGCTAATTTAACCTTGGAAAAAATAAGGGTGATTAATGCCTTGTCTCACATTTGTATTACTTAAAAGGTCTTATTTTATCCAGAATGTGGGCTTTGTATTAATTAACCACCACCACCCTTCTCCTTTGGCCTTTTCCTTTTTAAGAGTGTTGCTCTAAATCCCTTAAACAAAGCAATAGCCTCTGCTACAAGGATCTGGAGAAGTTAGGTCAACTGTTCAGAGCCTCCATGGAGTCTGATTACTGATTCTTTCCACAGTACTACGGTAGAACGACAGGAATCAGGCTAAAATGAATGTTAAACTGAGCACAACAAAAGCTCAGTTCTCCCAGAGTAAAGATACCATTTCTTTTAGTCCATGCCCTTTCAACCTACATTGAGCTTTGGGCCTTTGCAGATCCCAGGAGAAGAAAAGAGAGATGAAGTTGGCCCAAGACCTTGTGCTTGACCCTGGTAAAATCGTTCCACTTGGTCCAGATCTGACCCAAATATTGGTTGTATTCAGATCCTCCTGCCCCCACTCTCTCTCAGGCCTCAGCTGTACATGGAGAACTTCCCTGTCCCATCATTTGCCTGGAGTATCTACCACCTCTTTCCCTGCTTTGGAAACAGTCAGTCTCTTTCCTTCTCTTAACCTTTCTGTATTGCAGCCCCATTTGATGAAAATGATCTGGAGGAAGATGTGGAAACAGAGCCTGCAGAGATGGAGGGAGAGGCAGCAGAGGACGGAGACACTGGAGACACTGGTGCTGAGCTGGATGACGGTAAGGGGCAGTGCCAGAGGAGAAGAGGAAGTCGGAATTGTAGCAAACTCCAAATTGTATATGGGAACACCATGATTGGTGATTGGGAGTGAGTTAAAAAAACAAAAGCAAACAGCCTAAGACTTTGCCAACCCAGACAATGACTCACCAGGTCACAGAAGGAAACAAATAGAAAGCACAGCACAGATACTGGCCTCTTACTTCCTTCTTGACTCAGCTGATAATAATGTGCCTTAGTGTATACACCTGCAAAGTGAAACTAATTAGAAATTCACCTGGATTACCACATTGGGGTTTAAGGACATGATCAGAAGTGTCAGACACATGGCCCAAAACCCTCCTAAGTATAACCCAAACCAGATTAAAGTGGGAAAAATTTAACAAAATAAATAAAAACACAATAAAACATAGATAGCATTGCATTTTAAAACTAATCAACGTGCATCTAACAGGAATCCTTCTATACAAATGAGCAGCCCCCATTTCTGTTTGAGTTGCTCTAGACTAGAAGATTATTGCCCCCGGGAATACACTGGTAGCTGGGAACGGGAAAAATGTGACCAAGTTCTATCCAACAAGAATTTTTGTTTTGTTTTGTTTTGTTTTTGGCAATTGGGGTTAAGTGACTTGCCCAGGGTCACACAGCTAGTAAGTATCAAGTGTTTGGTCTGAGGCCAGATTTGAACTCAGGACCTCCTGACTTCAGGGCCAGTGCTCTATCCACTGCACCACCTGGCTGCCCCAAGAATTTTTTTTAATCACCAGTTATGTACAAGGCTCTAGAGACGTAAAGAAAAGCAAACCAGTCCCTACTTTCATAGAGCCTACATTGACCAGGATCTCGACAAAGTGAAGGCACAGCAGTTGTCAGGAGTGGGAGGGTACTGCCAATGGCAGGATCAGAATCACCTTCTGTAAAAGGCAGCACCTAAGCTGGGCCTTAAAGCTAGGACAAGCGCTGCAAAGGCACAGAGGGAGGAAATACAATAGATGCAGTAGAGGAGAGAAAGAAACAGGAACTAGGTGTATGTGGAGTGGGGCACAGAGAGCAGCGTAGTACTAGGGAGATTGTGAAGGTAAGGAAGCCCTGACCAGGAGACCACAGAGGATAATGTCTAAACATTGAAAAGGGAATCTGTGCAATTGAGTCATGTGCTCTGCAGATGCACAGTATTATTTCTGTTCATTTGTGACTTCTCTTAATGACATTATTATTCCTCAATTAAAAAAAAAAAAACATGAGCTATGTTGAGACTATAAACTGATCTCAATATATGGGGCTACTAGGTAGCACAGTGAATAGAGCGCCAGGCTAGGAGTCAAGAAGATGTCTCCTGAGTTCAAATTTGACCTCAGACAGTTACTAGCTGTGTGACCCTGGGTAAATCACTTAACCTTGTTTGCCTCAGTTTCTTCATCTCTCAAATGAGCTGGAGAAGGAAATGGCAAACCTCTCTAGTATCTTTGCCAAGAAAACCCCAAAAGGGGTCACAAAGAGTTGGACATGCCTTAAAATGATTGAACAACAGTAAACTAGATAATGTGCTTTGAAATGTAAGGGACACTATTCACCCACTGTTTTTAGAAGAAAATCAAGACTACCAGGCAGTACTTGTTCTGAGGAAGAGAAAGGGCTCAGCAGAAATAGAAGAAGATGGCGTAAACTTTAAGGGATGGAATTGCAATTGGTATATGTAAATAGATTCAAGTCAACAAGCATTTAATAAGTACCTACTATGTGCCTGGCACTGTGCTAAACACTGGAGATACAAACAAAAAAAAAGGTAAAAGATAATCCCTGCTCTCAAGGGGCCCACTTTCTAATGAGGGAGATAACACGTGTAAACAACTTTGTTTTGTACACACACACACACACACACACACACACACACACACACACACACACATACACATTTACAAGATATAGACAGACTAAACTGGAGATAATCTCGGAGAAAAGGGCCTAAGATTAAGGAGAATAGGAAGAGCTTCTTGCAGAAGGTAACACTTCAGCAGAGACTTGAAGGAAGCTGAGGGAAGGCAGAAGTGAGGAGGGAGAGAGTTCTAGACATGGAGATCACCCAGTGAAAATCCCTAGAATCAAAAGATGGAAGTGTCTTATTCTAGGAACTGAAAAGAGGCCTGTACCCCTGGATTAAAGAGTATGTTGGGGTGGGGAGTGGAGTGTAATGTGTAAGAAGACTGAAAGTGTAGGAAGAGGCCAGGTTACAAAAGGCTTTATAAGCCAAACAGCTCTCATTGGCAGGGAGTCTTCAGAGAGTCAGAAGGTTTAAAAGACAGGGCTGACCAAGTTAGAAGGAGGGAAGCAGGTAAAAGTGAGCCCTGGGCTTTGAGCCATGCGTTTGGAAGGGGGCAGACATATGGATCCTAGTGCCAGGGTGTTTGTGAACTTAAAAGTCCTCATAGAATTCTGATGGAACCAGACTGAGACACTTCCACAGAATTCCATGATGCAGATGACCATGTACCCTAAAATTTTACCTGTGAGTCATGAGTTCCAGAGACTGTGTTTCATGCTAAACTGGATGATGGCTAGCATTTATATAATATTTTAAGGTTTGAAAAGCACTTTATACATATTATCTCACTGATCTCTGCAACAACCCTATGAAATAAGTACTATTATTATCCTAACAGAATACCATTGTTGGTAGTCAGCATTCTCCAAAGAATTTAAAATGGGTATCACCCAAAGGACAGTGGTGAGTATAACCAGAAATAAAGTGCTCCATCGAAGCAATGTGTGATCCGAAAATATGGTGGACAGGTTCCATGGCAAGAGTGAGGGAAAACTGATGTCCTCCACAGACATTCTCCTGATGACAGTAGAAAAGGAGGAAGAGGCATGTTGGATAGAACCCCCTTTTACGAATGAAAAAACAAAGATTGAGAGAGGTCAAGTAATTTGCCCAGAGTTACAGAGCTAGTAAGCCTCTGAGAGAGGATTTGAACTTAGGGCTTCCTGGCTCCAACTCCATCATTGTATCTCCCATACCTGAATATGATTAATGAACATTAGAATATGATTCCCCTGGAGCCCGTTAGGGATTGCTGACTTGGGAAGGAAAGACAATAACAATTTGTATCTAGAACACTTTACTGGCTTCCTTCTCTCAGATCAGCGCTGGTCTGATGACATCCCATCTGATGCTGAAGCTGAGTTGGGTTTACAGGGCCAGGAAGCAAAAAAAGGAGAGCTAAAGCTTGAAGTATCAGAGAAGGAAGAGGAGCAACCAACCTCCCTACCACACCAGCAAGGAGAAGGTAACCTAACAAGAGAAATGACTTCATTCCAATGAGTAACTATCTGGGTAGGAATTGTGGAGATCCTCTAGGAAAAAATAATTCAAGGACCCTGCCAGGTCCTCTGAATAGACCGATCATATCCAGGGGAGATTGGGAAATAGAGAGAATTAGAAACAGTTGGTATGAAGGGAAAAGTGAGTCTGGTTTGGCTGCCCTCCCACCTCCTATCAGTTGTACTATCTGTCCATCCTGTCCTCCTCAATATTCTCTCCTCTCTAGTTTTTCAGCAGCTGTCCTGGTCCTCCTCCTCCTCACTAATTTAACTACTTCTTTTTCTTCTTTGCTGGATCATCACCTGTAACATGACCATTAACTGCAGGTATAACTAAAAGATCTCTCCTAGATCCTCTTTTCTTCATTCTATACACTCTCTCACGTTGGTGACCTGTAACATGACCATTAACTGTAGATATAACTAAAAGATCTCTCCTAGATCCTCTTTTCTTCATTCTATACACTCTCTCACGTTGGTGACCTTGTTAGCTCCCAAATTAATTCCCTTGTTAGTTTCATTGCCATCTCTGTGCCAATATCTCTCAGATCTATGTTTCCAGCCCCAGTTTCTCCCCAGAGCTTTAGGCCTATATCACCTACCCATACGACATTCCAAAATGGATGACCCATACATACCTCCAATTCAACATGTCCAAAATAGCTCATTGTCATTTCCCCTAAGTCAGCTCCTTTTCCACATTCCCTGTTTCTTTTGAGGGCTTCAATGCCTTTCCAGTCTCCCAGGTTCTCAACTTTGTTATCATCTTCAATTCCTCATTCCCCCTCAGTGTCCAAGTCTTTGCCAGATCTTATAGTTTTATATATATATACATATATATATATATCTATATGTAACATCTTTCATATCCAACCTACCACCTGACTTCAGGCTGTCATCACTTCTCATCTACACTACTAAAACGGGCCTCCTAATTGGTCTTCCTGCCTCAGGTGTTTCCTTCCTCTACTCTCCACAGCTGTCCCCTGTGCCTGAAATGCTCTGTCCCCTTCTTCCTCATAGTTTCTCTGGCTTCTTTCAAGACTCAGCTCAAATCCCACCTTCTGCAGGAGGCCTTTCCTAGTCCCCTAAACTAATGTTTTCCCTTTCCAATTTTTTTCCTTCTCATCTAATCTCTATATCTTTAATAAATGTGTGGAAGAACATGGCAAGAATAGTACAGACAGGCAGGCATAATTGAGCTGCCGTTGTACCTTAAGAGGGGATGCCCACATCCACCTTCAAATTACAGATTCATTTGAGCCATTGTCTTCTGCCAGACATCTAACTGTCATTTTTTTTTCCCTAAGGTCCCTCTCCACACTCTAGCCCTAGCAAGTCTCCTCTAGAAAGTCCTGGTCTACTCTCCACAGTTAGCAGAGCCAAAGCAGAGGTAAGTTTTCATGGGTTTTTTGGGCCCAGGTTCATTGTGAGAAAGCAAGGTGTACCTAGAGTTATTGATGGCAACTTTCATCTTCCTTGGGGAACTGTCTCTATCAAAGATAGGAGTACTTTCAGCTTGTTGTCATCCTAAGGAAATACAAACTCTGTTTGTTCTCCCTAACAGAATTGCCAAAGATTTAACAGAAGGTACTGGTGTCTTTTGACCAAATCACCTTAATTGGAGAAGTAGTATAGTGTAAGACATAGATCAGTAATGGGCCAGGGTTCTAATCCTAAATCTTACTGATTTGCTGTGGTTCCTCAGAAAGCAAATAAGCACATAATCACTTAATGCCTCAGTTTTTTCACTATAAAATATAGATAATATTATAATACCTCACATGATATAATATGAGGATAAGCAAAATAACATCTGTAAAAAACTTTGAGCTCCTAGAAAAGTCATTGTGAAAAATAAAAATTAAAAAATGGCCTATTTAAATAAAAATGAAAGCACAAGTATTAATTGTCAATTCTTGGAAATTGGGGTGATGCCTAATCAATTGGGGAATAGCTGAACAAGTTGTGGTATATGAATGTAATGGAATACTATTGTGCTATAAGACATGATGAGCAAGAAGACTTCAGAAAAACCTGGAAAGACTTATGTGAACTGTTGCTGAGTGAAGTGAGCAGAACCAAGAGAACATTGTACACAGTAACAGCCACATTGTACGATGACTAACTTTGATAGGCTTGGCTTAGCTCTTCTCAGCAATGCAAGAATCTAAAACAACTCCAAAAGTCTCATGAGGGAAAATGCTATCCACATCCAGAAAAAGAACCATGGAGTCTGAATGCAGATGGAAGCATACTATTTGCTCTCCTTTTCTTTTGTTGTTTTGTTTTATTTCTTCTTTGTTGTGGTTCCTCCTATTAGTTCTAATTCTTCTATACATCATGACTAATGTGAAAATATGCTTAATGCGAATGTATAAGTAGAGGCTATGTTAGAGTACAGGCTGTCTTGTGGAAGGGGAAAGAGAGGGAGGGGGAGAAAATTTAAAAACTCAAAATCTTATGGAAGTGAATGTTGAAAACTAAAAATAAATAAATTATTTAAAATTTTAAAAATAATTGTTAATTCTATTGACAATTGTGGTCTACATGTCACTACTATGCATAGCTATATGCCTTAAATCTTTGGGAGGGAGTTGAAAAAAAATTGCACCTCTAAGAAAGGACCCTTTAAAGGGACAGACAACTTTAAAGAAAACAACTCATCCTCAATAATTTCTGCTAATTTCTTTTCTTTGTAGGACGTCCAAGTCCCCTTCTCTTCAGTTTTCAATAGAGACAAATCTCCAGAAGAGCATTTTTTCCCAGATATATTCCACATCAAAGAAAAGCCAGAAGTTGAAATTCCCATGGATCAGAAGGTTTTAAACACTTCTGCGACACTGTCTCCTATCCGATCCCAGCCAGCAGCCCTGCCAGAAGCCATCATGACCACTTCCCCAGTCATGTCTGGATCTGTGTCCCCTTCACTGGCTTCTACTTCACCTTCCTCACCACTGCCCATCTGCTCTCAGCCCCAGCCTTCCTCTGAAACGTCCATTCCATCCCCCACAGAGTCTCCTATTTGTTTCCAACCTAGTCCAATAATAACATCCACTCCTCTGGTCTCCCTCGCCCGTAAAGACCAAGATGATGCAGTGGAAAAGCCACGCAGCCCTGTTGCCGCAGATGAATCCATAAAACGGAATGACCTCGTGGAGGAATTTTGGTTAAAGAGCGCTGAAATACGCAGGAGCCTTGGGCTCACCCCAGTGGATAGAAAAAAGGGTACTGAACCAAGTTTCACTTTGCCCAGCCTTGATTCTGTGTCCCTAAAATCATATCCAACCAAGAAGGTATCTCAAGATGAAGAAATCCATCTTTTAAAACCTCAACCTTCTCCTAGAAGGCCAGGCATACCAAAGTTAGATAGCGATCAGCCATCACTGCTGACTCCTAAATCACCATCCGAGAAAGAACTGAAAAGCTTGATCCACGAGGAGAGGAAAGACTTGTCCAGCAGCTCTGGCCTGGGTCTTCATGGGAGCTCCTCCAACATGAGGACCTTGGCCAGTCAGAGCTTTAATACCTCTGACTCAACCATGCTCACACCACCTTCAAGCCCTCCTCCTCCCCCACCACCAGATGAGAAACCAGCAACTCTTCGAAGAAAGAAACAGGCTTCCTGGCAGAATGAAACTGAATCCAAGCCTTCACCTACCACTCCCCCCGTAGTCATTGTTCGGCCCCACCAAGAACCATCACAGCCATCCAGAGAAGAGGTGCGCAAGTCATTTGTGGAAAGCGTTGATGAAATTCCATTTGCTGATGATGTGGAGGACACATATGATGAGAAGACAGAAGACACGAGCTTCCAGGAAAAGTTCTTCACCCCACCCAGCTGCTGGCCCTCCTCAGAAAAACCTCTCTACCTACCCTTGGCCAAAGAAAATGGCAGGTTGCCTGCTTTGGAAGGTGAGTCCCAACAAGAAAAGAGGGGGCTGCCGGTGGTGTCTCCAGAAGCCAAGGAACTGGCCAAAGAGCGGATGAGAGCCAGAGAGAAATCTGTGAAGAGCCAGGCATTGCGAGATGCCATGGCCAAGCAGTTAAAAAAGATGAAAGAGATGGAGATGACAGCTGCCACTTCAGCTGGAACCTCTAGGATCTTGAACAAAGGGGCTTCTTTGCCTTCCAAGACGAGAGAGCAGCTGGTCTCAGAACCCCTAAAGCAGTCAGCTCTTGGAAGATCTGAGGTGCCCACCCTAAAGCATGAAGCAACCAGTGAGGAGTTTTTTTCCCCACCGTCCGATTCAGGAGGCCCTGATGGCTCTGTCACGTCCTCCGAGGGTTCTAGTGGAAAAAGCAAGAAAAGATCTTCACTCTTCTCCCCCCGAAAGAACAAGAAAGAGAAGAAGTCCAAAAATGAGGGCCGGCCACTAGAAAAGCCCAGTGGGAATGTCCTGGAGGAATCAGCTGCCAAACCTAAGTCTTTATGGAAATCAGTATTCTCAGGGTACAAGAAGGACAAGAAGAAGAAAGTAGACAATAAATCCTGCCCCAGCACTCCATCCAGTGGTGCCACAGTGGACTCTGGGAAGCGTAAGATGTCTCCTATGGTCAGAACAGGTATGATAGAGACCTCCACAGGTATCGACACAGGGTCTTGTCATGAGAGCCACTTGCATGTCTTTAAATTTCCCCCCTCACCCCTTTATCTCTTTATTTGCAATGGATGAGACATAGAGGAAGGGAACCAATATGTTTAAAGTGAATGAAAATATCCTGGTTGCTACAATAATTATAGGTATATTGTATTTGTTTGGGGTGTTGACTATATTCTTTGACAAATAATAATAGCCAAGTTATCAGGGTCCGCTGTATGGAGAGAGACACGCTGACAACGTATAGGACTTAAGTCACTTTATTAACCTTGTTTCTTCTTTTCTTAGAGCTGCAACTACGTCGACACCTGAGTTTCTCAGAGGACTCTGATCTCTCCAGTGATGATGTCTTGGAGAGGTCCTCCCAAAAGTCCAAGCGAGAGGTAGGCAAAAACAGATGAGTATTAATGGTGTCAGAAAAAAAAAAAACCAGAAGGTTCCCAAAGTCTCCTACTAAACTCACTTTTGGTGATTGTTGAAGAGGAGAGGAATGTTTTGTAAGACACAGAAAAAACCTATGACCAATTGTTGGGTTTCCCTTCAAGAAAGCCAGTTCCTTGTTGTTATTAGATGAAGGAGCTGCAGAAAGACACACTTGGATTGTCTAGTTAGGCAGTCTTGAAAAATAGGTCTTTCTTAAGTGCTTCTGATGAGCAGTTTGAGGTTATAAATTTTTATGATGAGTTTCTGAGTATTCAAATGTGAGAAAGATCCAGTGCCAAATTGGACAGTGCCAGCACTGAAGTTGGGGGCCCCTTTACTCTTAAAACAGCTCATCCTTCGAAAGCCTGAACTGTAAGTGACTCTGAGAGAAAGGGGTGACTGAGGGGCAGAGTGGCCTTTGACAGAAGTTGAAGGATAATCAAGACAAACAGAATTCATCACAGGGAAGCTATACCTCAGCATTTCATCTGATTTCTAGCAAAGTTTTACCTAGCATCACCTGTAGCTATGATTCTTTTAACATCTGGATGGCATGATCTATCTAAGTAAGGACTCTTTCCCATGTAGGAGAAATTATAGTGCTTCTTCCTGGATCCATCCCCAGACTTTATTTAGTCTGTGATCCCAAAAGTGTCTGGGCTTCCACTTGCATGGTAATTATAGAAACTAGAATAAGTGTTGTCTCCTCTCTGTTCAAAAACTCTCTGTGGAAATCACTTGTGCAAATATCAGTTTTCGTGGTGATAAAAGCATGCCACACACTTCTTGAGCTGAAGGGGCTGCCCTTAATATGGGTACATTCTGGGATGACAATGCAGAGGCATAAACAGTAAGTGTAGAGCCTTGAGGATAGGCATTTCTACACGTTTTACATATCTGCCAGTGAAGGTGAATTTTTCAATATTAAGCAGTATCCAGTGGAATGATGAAAGTGGTTGACTCTGGAAGTTTGGATTGGCTATGCCATTTCTCCTGGGATCAGAAGACCCAGTTAGTCTTCTCTCCTGGGCTATATCTCTGGTATAATATACTTCCACCAGCAACCACCATCTTTCTTTGTACTATCTTTCGATCCTCACGATCTTTTGCAGGCCAGACTGTGTGTGGCAGTTAAAATGCAGGAGAAGGGAGCAGAGATCATCAAAAAGTGAAAGGTGGAAGAGGCCAACAAATCCAGAAAGAGCCTTCACACAGACACCTTAACCCTAGCTCTGAACTCTGCCCCTGGGCAAGGGCTATGAGGCCCTCAGTAAGCACCCCCTTATTATTATTATTAAATGCTAACTGTAAGCATCCTACATTGTCCTCTGCCAGAAAAGTAGGGCTTACTCTCTTTGGAGAGATGAGAGATTTCTGTTATCTCTTCACTTCCTTTTCACATTGAACTGAAACAACTTTCCCAAAGTGGGGGGAAAAAACTACACACCATTCTCTCAAAGTTTCCTAAGGCATTTGACTTGGGTTGTGCCTTCATCACAAAGTCTCAGAGACAGACCAATCTGATAACCGATTAGAAGAGGCAGGGAAAGGGAAAGGAGAATAGACCTGATAAAAATGAGGTTTAAGTCCATTCATCACAGACCATAGTTAAAGTGTAGCAGGCACAAATTTTGTGCCTGAAACACCATTTGTAGTTCTGGCCATAACTCTTTAAGGAACATCCTAGATTGAACAAAAATTAATCATTGAAATTGAATAACATTCTTATTTCACCTTTTTCCCAAGTCTTTACCAGCTCTGCATCTATCAAGAATAAATATCTCTTCTTCAGACCCAACCCAGTCATGTGCCCAGACCTGAGCCAACGTAAAGCATAGGATGTAAGGAGTTCGGATAGACAGGGACTCTGGACTTTTATGCTTCCCAGCATAGGACGTAGTAAATGTAATTTTATCAAGTATTCCTCATCAGGTTTCCCCAAATCAAAGCACTGATGTGGAACTATAATTACCTGTGGGACCTTGTGAGAACCCCTAGGTTAGGATGGTTAGAAGAACTGGTTAAATAAATTAGTCCAGCTGTTCTCCACTGTGATCAGGCCACATCTAGAGTGTTGTTTTCAGTTTTGGATACCACGTTTTAGGAAGGAGTTTACTAATCTGGGATAGCATCCAGACAAATATCACCGGAATGGTGAAGGTCCTTAAGTTTATGCTGTATAAGGAAAGTTTGAAGGAACTGGATTTGTTTAGCCTGGAGAAGAAGGGGGCCAAGTATTTAAAGAACTATGACTCAGAATAGGGAATAGACTTGTTTTGTTTAAACCTAGAAGACAGAACAAGTAGCGACAGGTGGAAATTACAAAGGAGAAAATATAGGCTTGAGATAAGGAAAAGGGTCTAACAATTAAAGGCCTCCCCAAATGTAATAGAATTTGTCAATCAGTCAGTTAGCATTTAATAAACATTTAATTACAGACTTGATTTCATTACAGTAGACCCTGGGGACACCAACCAAAAATGAAACAGTTAATTAACAGTGCCTTCATGGAGTTTATATTTGTTAGAAAGAGAACATATGCATATCTAAGTACATACAAAATGATCTCATAGATTTATAAGTTCCCTTTAGTTAGGAAGAGCACAACCTATCCTTATCTGCCCAACCGTTTTCCATGTCCTCCCATAAGTTTTCTAGAAACCAATATTCTAGAGCCTTTCTTGCTTTCTCCTGACACCACAAGGGTTTGTCCTTTTACCGTCCTTCACCCATGACACATGACCAGCCTGTCTTTTCTTCCTATCTTACATTTCCTTCATGGCATCACTTACTCTTGTATTTTGCTCTTTGGTTATGTAGTAGTCTTCTCACACCTACCATGCATCTCTCCATTACTTTCTGTGTAATGTTCTTTCTTAATTCTTCAGAAACTGTTGTATTCCACATCTTGCTTCCATACAGAAATACTTTGGGTTTTTTTAATGAATTAATTAAATTGGTGTTAAAAAGATGGGCCATTGTTTCCCTTGAGAGACTTAAAAGAGCTTTGCAGTTTCCCAAAGGTAATCTAGCCCACTCCTTCCTAATCAATTCCTAGCCCAATTAGTTTTCTGTTAATGCCGTGTTCCAGATATATAGACTGATAGACAAGTTGACCATCCAGATGCACAGTTTAATCTTGGCAATGAGCATTCTTTATCCCCTTAGCCTTTCTGCTGTGGAGAGTCAGGTCAAATCCTTTTAAGTGGTCACAAATCTCTTTCCAGAAGGCTTGCCATATTCCAGGACTTTATACAACCCACACAATTTAATTTTGCCATCCACAGAGATTTCCTCTTCATCTTGGACTCTGCACTGTATCTCCTCCATAGCTATGGCAGACACCTTTGGCAAGCAAAGTTCTCTGTCTTGTATAATGTTTATGATCCCAAGGTTATTGAAATAGGGTTATTTCTGTTGTCATGTGTTAGGAAGCAGCTTAGTGACACAGTGGATAGAACACTGGACTTAGCCTCAGAAAGATCTGAGCTCAAAAGTGGCTTCAGACACTTGCTAGCTATGTGACCTGGGCAAATCACTTAACAGATATCTGCCCCAATTTCCTCAGCTGTAAAATAGAGGTGATAGTAGTGCCTACCTTCCAGTGTTGTTCTGAGGAGTAAGTGACATAATATTTGTAAAGTGCTTTGCAAACCTTAAAGTACTATGTAAGTTCTAGCTATTATTACTATGTCTTTTTTTTTTAATCTTGAATTATTTTGATAGATGGACACCTTGTTAGAAAGAGTTTTTAAGATGGAATTTTGGTCTACCAAATCAAATGCTTTTTCATAGTTATTTCAGTAGGGTGAGTCACTGGGAGCTAGGAGACTCAGGGAAAACAGTGAACTTCCCTAGGCTTCAGTTTCCTCATCCATAAAGTGAGAGTGTTGTAAATGACATGTAAGGCCCCTTCTAGCTCTAAATCGATCATCCAATGATCTATTATGAATCTATCTGCCATTAAGGATGGCCCTGGTTCAGGGAGAGTAATAATATGTCAGCATTTGTTGTTTTCTATTGCCCTTTTTTGTATTGATAAAGGCTGAGATTTTTTTTCCATTCCTTTTTTGTATTTCCATTCTTCAGATGACCTGTGCATGTCATTCCCTCACAACTGTGAGATCTTCTCCCTCAAAGATCTTCTCTATGTAAACTGATCCAATCCAGCTGCTTTTCCCGTCTTTGTTCTCCTTAATGCCATTTTTGTTGTTTAGTCATTTTTCAGTGATGTCCAACTCTTCATGGCCCTATTTGGAATTTTCTTGGCAAAGATATTGGAGCGGTTTGCCATTTCCCTCTCTAGCTCATTTTACAGATGAGAAAACTGAGGTAAACAGGGTTAACTGACTTGTCCAGGGCCACATAGCTAGTAAGTGTCTGAGGCCAGTTTTGAACTCAGAAATAGGGTCTTCCTGACTCCAGGCCCAACGCTGTATCCACTGTCCCACCTAGCTGCCTAATGCCATTTCTTATATAAGCATATACAGGAATATAATATTCAGGTATAAGTGTAGTGATTCTACTGTCTTTGATGATAAAAATAGTTTGTTATAGTAATCTTTACAGATCTTTTCCTTTTTTCTTCTTGTGCTTCTAGTTTCATCCTTAAGTGTCCTGAGATCACTTTGTTCATTTGGATATCTTGCCAAGCTTCCTTTAAACTGCTTGTGCCTGTCACTGCTTCTCTTTTCACTATCAAATGGTTCAATATTAGAAATGGATATGTTGTTATCAATCAGAATGACATTCAAGAATATGAATTATTTTCTTTGCCTATGAACCCTAAGGACTACTGAGCTTTTTCATCTTACTTGTAGCTAAAATCTTCTGTATAAGTTGTTTTTCCCTCTTGGGATATTCCTTGAAAACAGATTATAATTGCTTTTCTATGTGTATCCCCAATGCTTAGCACAGTGATTTGCCTATAATAATATGCAAATTAATAATTGCTTTTTCATTTAGGCATTATCTGCTTTATAAGATAATATCAGTTATAATTGCCCATTGTCCTTCTTTGTAATTTTTACAAACAAGTTTATATTCTAAACCAAAAGTGTCAAACACCATAACACTCCTGGAATAAGACCTGAACCAGATTAAAATGTAATTGGGAAACATTTAACAACATTTTTTAAATACAGTAGAACATAAATAATTTTAACATGTGGTTTCTAAGTCAATATGCAGCCTGTGGGATCCTTATATACAGTTTAGTGGCGCTGTTCTAAACTGCTGTCTTTGGCCACCATCTTCTTTACTTGGCAAATAAGTCAAATGTTTGATAACTAAGGCATTTTCTGTGCACTTTTTACATTTTATTGTGGTTGTAGAGAGGTCTAAAATTATTATAATCAGTGACAATATCATTTATGTCATTCATTTCTCGTTTTTTATTGCTAATTACTGAAGTAGTTCAAGATTTGTGTTGTTTCAGTTCTACACCACATATTTTCTCATTATCGTTTTTTGTTTGTTTACTAATTCTGATTGTAATTGTAATTCTAATGTATTACTAATTCTGATCTTTGCCTTGGGAAATTGATGGTCTGACTGCACAGAAACAGCTAATTTTAAGGGTAACTCCTACATCAATAACAAATCTTTGTGTGTTGGAGTGAGCAGAGACTTGATGCAGAAAGACCAATTAGGAGGTTATCGTAGTAGTTCAAAAGAGAGGTGATAGTCTAAACTTGATAGATAAAGGGTCTGTTGAGCAAAAATGGGATGACCACTTATTATAAAAATACAGTTGAGACTAGGTGTCATAATTCTGAGATTCTGTTTGATGAGATGGTGTCCCTTGCAGGGAGGCCTTTGAAAAGTATTCTGTTGTACTCCAAAATTATTTCTGTTTCACTATCAACCCTGCCTAAATTTAGTAATGGTCAAACCACAAGGCAGAGCTTCCATTTGTGATTACTTGTATTGTCGAATGATCTCTCTTATTAACTGAAAGTCCTGCAAGAAAATTAGTCAGCCCTGGCAGATTGGTTGAGATACTTTTGCCAAAGCCAGCATTAGAACAACCCTGGCCATCTCCTGAAGCATCTCCAAGAGCCTGGCAAACATTAGGGGCAAAAAGGGATTTCCTTTCTTCCACATGACCCAGATGAACACAGGAACCACAGTCATAGAATGACTGAGAGATCATCTAGTATCTTAAGTCTCATAGTTTTGAAGTTAAAAGAAACCTAGATGTCCAACTTCCTCATTCTAAAATGAGGAAACAGACCCAGAGAGGTTAGGTAATTTGCCTGTGGTACCACTATTAATTATTGATAACCCCAGGACAAGACCTGGGTCTCTACACTTTCAGGATTCTTTTTTGTTTGTTTGTTTAGTATTTTGATTTTTTTCCCCAGTACACATAAAAGCAATTTTTAACATTCATCTTTAAAACTTAGAGTTCCAGGGCAGCTAGGTGGCACAGTGGATAGAGCTCTGGCCTTGGAGTCAAGAGGACCTCAGTTCAACAGTCTCAGACACTTGACACTTACCAGCTGTGTGACCCTGGGCAAATCACTTAACCCCAATTGCCTCACCAAAAAACAAAAATAAACAAACAAACAAAAAACTTCCAAATTCTCTCCCTTCCTCTCTCCCCACCGTGCCTCATTGAGAAGGCAAGCAATTCCATATAGGTTATACATGTGTAGTCATGCAAAACATATCCATAATAGTCAGGTTGTGAGTGAAAACATAGACAAAAAAAAGCTCAAGAAAAATAAAAATAAAGTTTAAAAAAGTATGCTTCAATTTGTATTGAGATAGCATCAGTTCTTTATCTAACTCTACACTACACCAAATTGGTGCAATTTCTAAGAGTGGAAAATAGGACATTAAACTTAATGTAACATTAACTACATCTCTGAATCAGGACTTTCCTTGTCTTTTCCTGATAGAGTTTTAAATATAGTGTAATCAGGATACTTAATGCTTTCAGATCACTATGATCGTACATCTAAAAGCTGAGTGCTGTTTCCAACATAACCTCCATTTTGCTATCAGGATTAGTAGATGAAAGGGAGAGCAAGGAACCTTTTTAATCAAAACTGGACACAGGGAGCAGCGAGGGCAGTAATTATAGGGAGGCAGCATGGAAAGTATACTGGATTTGGAGTCCAAGGGTTTAATTCAAGATGTAGCTTGCCTCATTTCTACCCCTATGACCTTGGACGAGTCACTGAACTTCTTTGTTACTTCGTCTTTAAAATGAGATTACTAGACTAAATAATTTCTAGAGGCCTTTCCACCTTTAAATCCCATTATTCTAAGGTACAATGACATGATTACAAACTGCCCTGTGGTCTGATATTTAAAATAAATAAATGAATGACTAAACAAACAAATAAGTGGATAAATGCATAAGTGGATGGATGGATGGATGGATGAGAGCCGCTGGTATTCAAGTCATTTGATCATAGATTTAAAGCTACAAGGAATCTTAGAAGTCATCTAGTACAACTTCTGTCATTTTTCCCATGAGGAACGGAGGCCTAGAGAATTTAAACTACTTGCCTGAAGTCACAGAGCTAGGATGTGAACCTGGGTACATTGACTTCAAATCCAGCATTCATTCCTCTGTGCATCCTTAGAATCACAAGACTTAGATTTGAGTCTCAGTTCTCATAGTTGTACAACTCTGGGCAAATAATATCGTTTCTCTAAGCTATCAAATGAGCAGATCAATATTTGCACTACCTACTTCATAGGATTGCCTTCCAGAGGGTGACTTTTATATTCAGTGTCAAGATTCAGAAACTGTAGCTTACGAGCAGCCCCTGGCAAACTGACCTTTGATTGTGAGCCAATGAACACAATTACCTAAATGCAAAAGCATATACTAAAATGACTTAAGAACAGTGTCTACAAAATATCCCCCCTCTCCTCCTAATAAACCTTGGGCACAAATACACAAAAGGGGAGAAGTAGGCAAAAACTCAGTGCTCTAGTGGAGGACACATGTAGGGAGCACATGGTTAGGTCAACTCAAGTCTCTGGTACTGCAGGGCATCAATGTCCTTTCTCTTCTTGTGCTGTCCTCATTCTACTCCCCTCTCATTGCAGCTTCTCTGCAGAGTGGGTCATTCAGCTAGATTCCTGGCCTTGGTCCTCTTCATAATTCATCTCCCAACTGACAGGGCTAATGCTCCCTTGGATTTTTGATCGGCTCTCTTCTCTTCTGCCAAGCTTCACCCTACCTGAAGCTTCTTCCTGTCTTGAATGCTGCCTGTCTACATCTGTCTTTCTGAAGAGTGCATCTCTACTCTCTGCCTCTGTTTAACCCTGAACTGAACCCTGCTAAATGCAGTGTCTCAGCCCACAAGGTTACCTCCTGCCTCAAATTCCAGAACTGTTTCAAGATTGGCAGGCTTCTTAAAGGTCTCCATGGAGTGACCAATCTTTATTCAGCCAGTGGCTTCCCTTCCAATTCAAAGAACTTTTTCATATTTTGGAAATGGATGTCAGGATATAGACACTTCATATTAATACTTCTTTACCTCTCTTAATGCTTCTTACTTGATTACCTCAATTAGGTCCCACAGGAAACCAAATACCCCTCAAGACATGAAGGAAATGCTTTATAAGCTTTAAAACACTATATGTGTGATGATTGTTATTGTCATTGTTGTTATTACGTTAATAATGATTGACAATGAAAAGGATGTTAAATATGAATCGGCTTCTATCAGATCTGAAATTCTCTTAACAGGTGAAACCTCTAGGGAAAATTTTCAGGTTCCCTATCAGCACTCTACTGCACATCCTCTGCATCCCTAGGACAGTAACCTTTGGGGTGCTGGAGGAAGGAAACTCTTGCCAAATTGAGATACTTTAATGAATATTCCTAAGTATATCTGCTGCCATGTAGGTAATGACTAATATAGGTAACCTAACATATAAGGATGTTGGGAGGAAGAGAAGTATTTTACGTAGAGGTACTTTAAACAGAATTTTCTGAAAATAAGAGCGGTATCGTGGTTGGGGTGGGGGAGAGCTAAGGTGAAAGGGAAAATCTTTTAGCAAAACTAGAGTATATTGAGCTGCTACTGCCAGAGGCTTTGGAATAGGTTTTTGCATACTCTACCACACCAAGTTCATCATCCATGAAGTCTTGCATAACATTTTTAAAAATTAATTTTAGTCCTGTGTATGTTTTAAGCATCTAACTGATTTTGCTCCATTTCTGTGTGTTCTTTTAAAATTAATTTATTTTTAATTATTGTTATTGTTACTGTTTTGTTTGTTTTCTGTATCCAATCTAAAGTCGATTTATGTACCACACGTCTTGGCATTCAAGAGGTCATATTCATCAAAGGTAGTATCTCCGTTCCCATCGGCTGGCCATTGCATGCATCTTTGTTATTAACCGGACCAGCCCACTATGCCTGACTTTACAAGCACATCTTCACTAACCCTGACCATACATGCATGGAATTTTAGCCAACAAAGGCAGCAGAATTTCCATTAGATGTGTTATTTAAAAAAAAAAAAATCAGCCATTTGGCTGATTAAAATGCATGTGATTATTTAGCTCTAAGGCTCATAGAGGGAAATGCAGCTCTGCAAAAAACAAGTGGAGCTCTGCAAAGCCATCAACCATGACTGACAGCCTTCCTCTCGGTGACTTTAAACCCCATTGTGAACTGACAAGACACAGGCTATTTCAGATGACTATATAATTGATAGCATTATCTAAATGCTACCTAATTTCAATCCTGTAGAGAAGAGAGCATAGAACTAATATTATAATTTCTGTTTCTTGAATTTAAAAATTCCTTTTCTTCTCTTTCCCTTGTTTTTTGCTCTCTGAAATGTAAATATATATAAAATTCTAATTTCCAGTGTAGTAGTTTGGATCACTTTCCTTCTACGCTTGTTGAAGGGTTTAGTCAAGCCATCTTTGATTCCCACTTAACCCTAATAACCTACATCTGTAGACCAGCATCAGCATTTCCACTAGTGGAGTTGCTTTGGGATTAGGGAGTTGTCCTTTCCACTCTCTCATCCCCTCTGATAGCCCTTGGGTTACCATACAGGATAAAGCATCTTCAGATCGGGGCCTCTGTGTAAACTCGAAACTTGACCTGAAACCACTCTAGTTTCTTCTTTAAACCATAATTGACTGCACTGTATGGAAAGTTTGAACTTGATTAGTATTTTCCCAAATTTAAAATAGAATAGGGGTTTTCTTGGCAGAGATACTGGAGCGGTTTGCCATTTCCTTCTCCAGCTCATTTTACAGATGAAGAATTGAGGCAAAACAGGGTTAAATGACTTGTTCAGGGTCACACAACTAGTAGGTGTCTGAGGCCAGATTTGAACTCGGAAAGATGAGTGTTCCTGATCCCAGGCCCTGCACTCTGTTCACTGCGTCACCTACCTGCCTACCCAGTACTACCCACCTCAAAAATGAATCTCCCTAAAACAAACTTGAAAAGATTATTCATTTTATGCAATTGGGTTTTGAAACCAGATAGTAAAGATTATAAATGAGAGGATGCATGGATAGAGAGCCAATGTCAGAGTCACGAAGACCTGAGTGAACAAGTTCCTTTTCTGACATATGGTGGCTGCATGATATTGTGAATTACTTAACCTCTCACAGCCTTCAGGCAGCTCCCTAAAACTATAAGTGGCAGAGCAGTGCCAGTTTGCTCTTAGTAGGGGGAGTTTCCTTATGAGGTGTTCCCCTTGTAAATGGAATCCTAGGTCTGATCCCCAAAAAAGTTAAGGATACAGATTTTCTTTCATATTTTCTCTGTGTACTTCCTAGACAGGGTGTACTAGAAAAACATGCCAGATTTTGTGTGTATCTAGATATAGATTACATGTACATATATATACATACACATGTGTATACATACGTATATATGTGTGTGTGCATATAGGAGTGCACATACATATATGCCTATATATACATATCTATATACGCGTGTGTATGTGTGTGCGCGTGCGCGCAAGGCTACATTTAAAGAATTCCTTAAGATGTGCAGACATATGCAAGTAGATTTCTCCTTTAGGAAAAGAGATATCCCTTTAATTCACCTGTGACCAATTCCCCCTTAAAACATATAATCTATAAATCCTCAAGCAATGTGTAGCAACTAGAACAGGAGGAAAGTTTTATTTAGGAATCTGCGCCACACCTGCCTTCTGTCTGTACCAGAAAGCATCGCTCCCTGCACTATGATCACCTCTGTGTAAAGACAGTCGTTCATCTGTCAACGTTCCAAGAAGGAAAAACTCTGTCCTTAGGGATGGGGTCTCCTTCTCCTCTCCTCAGCTGTCTGTCTGCCTTACCTATCACGGGCCTACGTTCACCTGATAGAGAAACCTCTTCCATTTCCTTCCAGCCAAGGACCTACACTGAGGAGGAACTAAACGCCAAACTGACCAGGCGAGTACAGAAGGCTGCTCGGAGACAAGCCAAGCAAGAAGAACTCAAGCGATTACATAGAGCCCAGGTAACATCCTTCAGCTTGAGAATAACAGACAGACCCAAGAAGGACGTATGCCTGTGGTCATCATTATCTTCAGACATGCTCCCTTATCCGTTATTCATTCTGTAAGATCTTGAGGGTGCCGTGAAGGTCAAGAATAAGGAACAGGAGAGGGGCAGCATGGCATGGTGACCACAAGTCAAGGGTACATGAATTCAAGTCCTCTGGCACAAGCTGGCCATGTGGCCTGACCCAGTCATTTGACCTCTAAGTGTCCCAATCCCTCCATCTCTAAAATCGTTAAGTTGCAGAATGCTTGTTAATCTCTATTCATAGAGGGAACCCCCTCTCTGAGAGCTTCCCTACACCAGTAAACTCACATTTGAACTGGAAACAGTAAGTATATAAAACAGGAATAGCTAAATCAGTCTCTGAGCTTTGTCTCCTGGGTTTTTAAAAATAATTTGAGAGATGATCCCACAGTACTGTTTGCATTCATCAGAAAACCTTGGCTTTGTACAGCCACAGACATTCCAACTTTATAGAGCTATTAATAAACAGAGGGCCGAGAATGAAGTTTCATAAAGTCCTAGGCTTGGCTGGATCGTTGAAAAAAGCTAGCAAGTTTTATAGCACAAGAATTGCCACACCCTTGAATTTTGATGTAAGTAAAGATTAGTTAGCTACTGTCCAACCTATAAAAACCCAATCTTGCAAATTTCCTTCCCCAATTTTTCTGGACAAAAAATGTTAATTTCCGTTTTTAACTTACATATCTCAAAGGTATGAAAATTGTAAAATATGAGTAATAATTTTTTTCTTTGTTTATACTTCTTGGGATTAAGACTTTCACTGCTTAGTCTTCTCTCCTCCAAACCAAATAATCCTAATTCTTTTTATTGTTCCTCTTTGGTTAGGTTTTCTCCAACACCAAGTAATTTTTTTTCCCTCCTGAATCTTCTTTTAGTTCTTATTTTGTAGTGCTTGGGCCAAATGTGACCCATTCTAAACAAAATTAAGTAATTTGTTTGTGCTATTTTACTGTTTACACATTCTAGTAGCAATTCTGCAAAGCATTAGAAGATGGGATATTTAAGTCCCTAGAAAGAATGGTATAAATATAATGATGTTATGGATAGAAGAAATATGTTAATGGCATTTTTGCAATACAACGTTGGTGATGGCAAACTCACGTAGAAATACTGTCCCTGTTAGCAACAGATCCTTTTCTTTTCTATTTACCTAGCTAGTTATTCATCATTTTGTATTTTTGTGATTTGGTTTTCTCCCTCAATGCTAGGAGATAGGAAACAAAGAGGGGTGCATACTAATCCTTTCTTGGTCTCTGGCAGATTATCCAACGACAGCTGGAGCAGGTGGAAGAGAAGCAGAGACAACTAGAGGAGAGAGGAGTCGCGGTAGAAAAGGCTCTCCGTGGTGAAGCAGGTACCCTCTTAGTGTGGCTTGGTTGTTTTGTGGGGGTTTGTACAACATCTCTCCCTCCTTTCCCCACAGTGTAAATCTCTGGTGTTGTTTTACGAAGGACCCTAGCACCATTGTGAAGAAAACTCCTCCTCTGGTGATAGGATAGCTTCCCCTTACCTGGAACTCAGTTCTATTTCCCAACGGAATTCACCAGTTCTCTTTATCCGCAAGTTTCTCTATATTCTTGTTTGTTCAGGGAAGAGAAGTATCCTTTTCTTGGTCTGCTCCAACGTATGGACCTATTCATTGGCCCCAGTATGAAGCTTCCCAGTCTCTGAGAAGTGAATGCTTACCCATTTCACCTACTGGGTGGGCACTGATCTTTAGCAGGATATCTTACTCCTTCTTTGTCTCATGTTTTTGAAAAGGAAATAACATAAAACGAAGCTGACTTGTTTTCTCTAGTGTGCCGAGGGTCACAAGAGAAGGGAAACTACTACAAGGAACCATCACAGAACTGGCCTGCACAGGCGCCTCACCAGCCATGTTCCCAGTAGCCTTGCCCTCAAACTGGGCCAAGAAAACTTGGGTACATTGCCCCCAGAGCTCCCACTACCCATTGCTATTAGAGTACAGAGTCCCTTCTTGGAACAAATTTAGTTCCCATTACCAGCCTTGGCCATGACACTGATTAGAGAGAAAGTCTGTTGCCTCACGTTTGCCTTGTATTTTCCTACCTAGCCAGCTCCACAGATCATTATAATTAGCCTGCAAAGTGATGTCTTGCTGGGTTGAAATCCTGGACCTAACAACCAACCACAGGTGTCTGATATCAAGGGTTCTAATAAACCCAGAGAAGAAAGAGGAGACCTAGGAGTGAATGTGTGGTTGTATGATTTGTAGGTAGCAGAACCATAACCATATCTGAGGGGCCAGAGGAGAGCCCCAAATTGAAAACCAAGAATATTCAGTAGGGTGGGTTCTGTTCCTAGAACCTGCCTGAGCCTTTGGAGAGTAACCAACCAGAGTCAGGCAAAGCAGCAGAAACACTGGACCGCCATCTTGCTTGAGAATCAGAAGCTATTCCTGGGCAACTTCTTACATATTCTTTAAGTAATCTGCCTGACTGTCTGGGATTTGTCGGAGATAAGGGACTGGGTTGCTGTTTGTGACTGTGCTTAGCGGGGTGGCCCTACACAGTGGCAAACCTTCCTTTTTTAGGAAGCAGAAGGGCCTAGGAACGGGCAGCTTCATACTCCAGACTCTGATCATTCGCTGATGGTTCCCCCTCACTCTCTGAGGGTGTAAGGACGTAGGAACCTAACCAGGTCTTTTCCAGTCTGAGTTGTTGGCTTTACTCCATGTGCAGCTCAAGCTCCCAATTAAGGCACAGAGCCTCTGAACCCTGGGCAATCTGCCATATAGCAAGGTTTAGAAAATCTCACAGCTAGACAAGTACTGTCCCCACCGGGAGGTTGAATGAAGATGCTGTTAATGCAGACTTTCCATAAGAAGCACTCGGGTTCCTCCTGTGAGCCAAGATGGTACACTTATTGCCCTCTGCTTTGGCTTTACTGATTCATCCTGTCTTGGCCTCCTGGACAAAAGCCTGCTTCTCTGTTCTGCAAGGGTGATGGGGCCGACCCATCACAAATAACCTCCGGCTGATACTTAGCCACTTAGCAGGCCATTTCCTCTGTGATGCTGCAATTTTTCCCCTCTCACAACAGATGATGAAAGGAAACCCAGTACCTTTTTTCCCCTCCTTACTTCTTCCTACAGATTCCTTCTACCAAGGTGAAAAGTGCTTCGTGGATCTGACAGTGAACAATCAAAATGAATAACTTAAGAGTCAGGATTTATGTTTCATAGTTAATATATTCTTCTAGTTTGGGATATTCCTTTCCTTCTCAGTCAAAAAATCCTAAGGCTTCTTGTTAAGCTATTTATATGTTACTTCCTTCCTTTAAAGCACCTGCTCTCTGCATTATAATTAGACTAATGCTCTGCTTTAAAAACCCATTAAGCCTTTCAGTCTCTTTATATGTAATTCATGGCCCACCTAAGAACCAAATAAAATAGAAATTCCCTGAGGATTCTAATTGAAAATTTCCTCTATTATTCTTTCTAATAATGTATCCACTTTAATTTTCATAAACTTGTGTAGTTGGAAGGACCCCTACCTCAGGAAAGTCAGCATTTACACCAGAGAGACAAAAATACGTTTTCTTTTTAAAGCCCCTCTTAAGTTTTCATATTTCTCTTGGGAAAAATGTCTCATAATCCATTAGCTACCACCACAAGAGTGAATTTTCAAATCTACTCTTATTCCAAATAATCAGCTTATTTTTTTCTTTTCTTATTTTAAACCCATCGTTCCTAAGGCTGGACTTTTGTTAAAATTCCCAAACTATGCTTGTTGACTTCCTTTCCTGTTCCTCTATCCTTCATTCTCTTTTTTATCACTCTTGTTGCTCATTTGAGCTCTATCTAGTTTGTTTCTATCTTTCCTGCAGTAAGATGCCCTCAGCTGAGTATGATGATCCAGGGCATCAAAGAGTAAGACCTCATCTCCATCCCCTGAGGCATTATGCTAGGTCGATATAGCAACATATTGGGTCATATCTAACCACACTATTGTTTACTAAGACTTTTTTTATCTGATTTGTACTGCCAGAGAAAAGAACCAAGTAAGAATCCACTAACCTAACCAGTAGTAGAATATAAATAAGGTAAACGATTGTGCAATTCACTACATGTCTAAAGTTCTCTTGCATCTGGATCCCAGTGAAGTGTAGACCCGGGCATACCAGTGGATATCTTAGGTCATCTTTTGTTACAGTGAGGTGTTGGTCCTGCAGTACCAGTTTTCCTTGTCCAGACCTGAAACCTCTGAGTTAACCTTGGATGTGGATCAAGTTGAACAGCACTCAATTGCCTACATTCTGTTCTCTAATACTTATTTTCATCTCTGCCCAGTGTTCAAGGGGAAACCTCTTACTCATGAGATAATAAAAATGGCAGAACCAAATTAGGAGATTGGGGTGGGGGGGAGCGGAGGTGAAAGTTTGAAGTTGGACAGTCATCATTTTGGTCTAACCATCTTCCATTCTAATTCTGGAGGAACAACTTCAACAGCTAAGCCTCTAGAGTCTTCCTTTGACTCCTTTCTCCATCCAATTCTTTCTTCTTGGATATATGAGAAACTGAAATCCATGACTGGACAACAGTTGTCAGATTGTGGTGATGAAAATGCCCAAGCATCATGGAAGAAGATATTTTGGGAAGCTTGACACCAGTTGCATCAGAGCAAACAGGATTTGGAGGCTGTGGTTGCATAGAGAATACATATATTCCATTTCAGAATGAACAAAGAATCCAAGGAGAAGGCAAGGAGTTTCATAGATAATGGCCCCATTCCTAAACCAGAAATCATGACTTTGTCTCAAGGTAAACAACAAGGTTTCCTTAGCTCCAGATGTGCCTAGAAAAAATAGGTTCCACAAAGAATTGAACACCAGAGTGTCGTTGTGGGAATTCTTGACATTAACAGTTTTCCTCTTATTAAACATAAGAGATTGGTGACCTTGCAGGTTTTTATAATGCCTCTTCCTATGTCACTTCAACTAATCTTCAATATTCATTCACTTCTTCAATAAGTAATTATTGAGTACTTTCTGTATGCAGGGTACTGATCTTCTGATCTGTCCTTGCACTTTCTTAAGTCTCTCCTGGTTTGGGCATTTTGTGAAGGCTCCATAGGACAGAGCCCTGAAAGAAATGATGTCTTGAACAAACTCTAGTAATATTGTCTTCCTAATGGAAGATCCATAGTGCAGGGACTTTGAGAAATCCTTCCCTGACAGGTCCGCCTTCAACTTTGTCACAAGTAACTGTCCATTCTAGTTTCTTGCCAGCCAACGTGTCTATATACCCTCTGTCTCTTTCATATATTGTCTTCCCCTCTCAAAATTTGCAAAATTTTCCCTCTTGTATTCTGAGATGCTACACATTGTTCTGTCACAGACCTTAACATTTAAAACACACACATACACACACACACACAACACACAACAGTATTTTCTTCATGAAGTATTATAAACCAGAATCACATATACAGCAGATCATGGACCACCATGATAAGGACTCCTTGACTCTCAATTCAGTGCCTTCCCTAGTTCTCCAATGCATGCTTTTGGAATGTATGTAAATAAACATATAAAGATTCATGATTTCTTGCTATTACTATATCTCTTCTGCTATGTGTATGTATGTGTGTGTCTCTATCTTCATGTTGCTTTAACTTGGTGGGGGGAGGGTCAGGAGGGTTATCTGATCCAGTAACTCTCTCTTCACCAATTCCTTGTTATAGACTATTGGGGAGAGTCTTATTACAGTGACATCATCGACTTGCATCTGGGTGGTATGTATAGCAGCATTTCTTGTTAGCACTAACCCTGCTGACAGCCCTTCCCTACCCTGTCTCCCCATCCCTTGCTCATAAACAAGAGGAAATAAGCCTTATAACCAAATGGCAAATGCACAGGCCCTTTTCCAGCTCGAATGAGCTGTACTCCAGGCACTTCTTAGGTCGTAAGATACTCTAGGAAAGAATTTGAAGTGGTTTATTTTGTGCAGTTTTTCATACCAAAATCTCACATCCCCTAACCTAGTTCTATCACATATCAAAAGAAATTTTTTTTGTTTTGTTTTGTTTTTCCTACTGCAAAATGAGATCCCCTTTCAATTTTAACCTCCTCCATATCCTACGATTTTCACCTTCCTTACTGTAGGTAAGCTCACTGTAATTTTTTTTGACCCAATTTCTGAGATAACAGGCTCAAGCCTTTTTAGTTACAGTATTCTCACTCTTCCTAAGTGAAATTAGCACAAAGTTCCCAAAGTTGAATTTCCTTCCTTTGATTTCTATATATATTCACTGGCCTGAGAGAAAGCTCTGTTAAATACCAAAGTCACAGAGTTGTCCCTAAATGCTTCCAGTGTTTGTCTCTTAAGTGTTTAAGTATTTCTCATTTCTGTCTCTAAATCCCCACATTTTCATTAACTTAGAAAATTTTGAGCCCAAGTTTTGTGTCTCTAGGTTAACTAAGGGCTTGCTGGCAAGACATTCAAATGACTGAATTTTTATTCCTCGATCTTCAGTTACGTCCTTATCATCCTCTTTTTAAAGACTTCATGCCCAAAGTTCAGCGACGAATTTACAAGATAAAGAAGACAGAGGATGATAAATTTACTCTCCGCCCTTCTTACCTGAGCTCCATTCTTCCAAAAGCAGTCTCCTCTGATTTTTTCATTTTTAAAAAACATCATTCTGTGGTTGCTGTTACAGTAGTGTGTGATCCCCCAGCTCTTTAATGAGCTGCTAGGGAATACCCAAACAGTCCAAAATAATCTACCTTGAAAAAATAAAAGTCCCACACCTCTCTTGCTAGTATTGTTTGTTACTGGTCTGTGAATAGTGCCTTGCCTCTCTGGGAGTCCATCCTCCAGTTAATAAATTTCATTCGATGAGGTCATCCCTGGCTGCCTTTGTGAGCACTACAGATCCTTTGCTACATTTGAGGACATCAGTGTCCCTGTTTACTAGATGCTGTAAAAGGGCTGATGCTAAACTTCCAGTTAACATATCCCACTCCCCATCTAATATCCTCATTAGTCCTTCCTCCTCCTAACACTCCTGGGGATGGGGGAGGGGTGGAGAAAATGCTTTCCAAATCTAATGATGTATGAAATTAAAGTGTTTTTAAAATCCCTGTAAAATCTGTATGTTTAAAATAAAACCCCCAGCCAGTGTTACTGCTACCACACAAAGTATGATGCTTTTTGCCTTCTACATAGTACTAGATTTGGGAGATCACACTTAATAGGCCAGTTTCATAATCTGGTCCTAACCTAGTGCCTTTTGCATATAGGAATCTAAAAAGTTTCAGAGGGGCAGCTAGGTGGCGCAGCGGGTAGAGCACTGGCCCTGAAGTCAGGAGGACCTGAGTTCAAATCTGGCCTCAGACCAAACACTTGACACTTACTAGCTGTGTGACTCTGGACAAGTCACTTAACCCCAATTACCTGGAGACAACTAATAATAACAGGAAAGAACTTTACTCTTAAGATTTATTTCAAGCTTCTTGGAAAACCATCATCTTCCAGTTTGGACAGCCATCTATAAAATAACATCACCACTATGTTTTATATGCCTTCACTTCTCTTGTTAAAAGACCCCACCCTCATCTCATTCAGATTTTCTCCTTGCCTTTTGTGGTGTCTGTCAACCTTGTAGAGGATATTGGACCATTCCATATCTATGAGGGTATGCTGTGACACCAATACAAAAACAGAAGAAATGAGCTTTAGATACTGTTCTGTCTAAGACGCCTTGTAAGGTGACTGTCTATATACCACTGACCTAGAAGAATCAGGTCAGTTTGCAATTCTCAGGCATTTCAAGCTGGGAATGTGCTGTATCTATTATTTGAAAAGCCCCTAGCCTGGTTGGTATCTGCCATAGTGCTAAGGCACCTGATTCCTCCTTTATTCTTATGTTCTAACAGGGCTGTCGAAGCATCATTTGGAAATCAGTAATATGGGTCTTCCTTTTCCTTTAGGTAGTAAATTGAGACATTCAGCAGTCAGTGTTTGGGGATGCTGAGTTTGTGTCCTAGGAAAGAATTGCTAAATCAGATTCCTAACCCTCAGTCCAGCGTTGATCATCAAAATCAGTTCTAAAAGAAAGCACTTTTAGAACTCATTTGAACTGAGATAGAATTCAAGCTTCCCTTTACTGAAAAACTGAAAGTGATGGCTGAAAGGGAAACAATCCAAGAGTACCAACAATAACCCTGAAGACAGAAAGAAGGGCCCGAGAGCTGCCAAGCGCACTTCCTCTTCTACCCCACAGCATCATCACTTATTTTCATTCAACAGCAAGGTGATGTTCCTGTAGCCTTTGAGGTATGAGCAAGCTCTCCCAAAGAAAGCCTTCCTGTGGAACTTTAGATAAAAGGATCTGTCTGCTCAGGGTTGTAGCCCACACCTAGACCCAGTTTCAAAGACCCCAGCTCTCTCTGATTGATCCACCCTAACAGGAAACTGGAAAGACAGAATCCGTGTAGAAATGTTCTTAAAGGATTGGGAAGTAATTTCCTTTCACAATTCCTTGGTGAGTGCTGCTCCTCTTCCTCCTTTGAATGAGAGTATGTGCGCATCCCTTTCTTCTGTTTGCTTTTCTCTTCTTGATATTGTATTTTGGCTTTCTAAGTGTGAACCCGATTCTAGTTTATTAGAAAACTAGAAATCCTAGACACTTCCCAGCTTACACACACATATAATCTCAAGTTTTGCACTCATTTTTCCCCCTTTCCATTTCTTGTTTCAACCTAGAGATGGATTCTGCATTGCAGTCATGACTGAGGCATCTCTTGAGCCATCATTTGCATATAGATTGAGCATGCCTCACCAGGTACCTTCTCCTAGACTCCCACATCTTACGTCATAAAAACTTCCTCTTTCCATGCAAGTTGGTTCTTTCACTCTGTGGTAGGATAGCATTGGGGTTTTTTTTCTGTGCTTTCTTCTAGGTGGTAGTATGATTTTCTCAGCCATACCCTGAAAGAGTCTAATTTATGGTCAAGTACATGTGAAAGTAGATACTGCTAGGGGCACGTAAGTTTGGGGAAACAGAAAGGTCTACGTTAGCCTTAGGGATAAGTGCTAAAAATGTACCCACCCAACCAAAAGAAAAAAAATTTTTGTCAGTTCAGTCTCTTTTTATTTCATATAGCCTGCACAGCACAAAGAAAATAAATGGAAGCTACATTCTTTAATATTATACCACCAGAGATTTTTCCCAGCCCTGTTCATGATGCTGTCTACAGGTTTGTAGTGGATTGTGATAGGATCTGATTTCCAATGACTTACAATGTAAATTTCTCTGAGTCTTCCCTTCCCCAAATGTATAATAGGTTTGTTTTTTGGTTTGGTTTTGTTTTTTAATTAAAACCTGTAATTTCAGGGGTGCAGGGAAGTCCCAGCAAGGAAGCTTCTTCTCCCAGTGTAAGTTTTTAGCTGCTCTAAATGAGTCTTGGGACACTGAAGGGTTATGGAACTTGTGCAGTTACATGGCCATTGTCATTATGGTCTGCCAACATTGGTATAGCATGTTACAGAAGAAAAAAAAAACAGTTCAAGTGTCTGAGAAGTAGTCTAGGTGCTTGGCTCCTTGTAGGGGCTTTCCTTGAAGCACAACAAGGTGCCTAATATAGGCCGGGTACTGCATTAAGCACTGGTTATGAGGGAGAACCTTAAACTGTAGCTGAAGAAGGAAGTGTGCCCCTTCTCTGGGGCATAGAGCTAGTACTTTGAAATTAATCAGCTAAGTAAAGAGAGGTAGAAGCCAAAAGAAATGTCCCCTTTAAACTCAGCAACTTTCTGAAGGTACGGAGGAAGAAGTGATTGCACACTAAGCATCTTGAAGGGTGTAGTCATAAAAGAAACTGCTCTCCATCAGAAGAAAAGGTATATAAACAATCCCCAACTTTAAAAAAGAAAAAAAAACCCTTGTTTTCCAAAAATATGTTGTTTTATTTGGTTCTCAGCTGAACCAGACAAAAATCTATTTAACTTGTATTTTCTCAGACGTAGGCATCAGTACTCATAGTACTGTGAAACCTTATCTATGTATCACCATGGTTCTGTGAGAAATGTGTTTGGTTACACCTTAGGATAGGAAGAACATGTCTCCTTGTCCTCCAAGCTCTTGTGATGGCTTTCACTGATGGGAGGAAAGAGCTGACCTTTCCTTTTCACCCTCTTCCACTTCCTGTTCGCCAGTCCCCCTGCCACCATCACCCTTTCCTTACACAAATTGCCCTTGACCATTCCTGGGGATGGGGAAAAGTTTATGAGTTGGGTTAGAAAGTTTCTGCTGGTATGAACTTTCCCTTCCTCTATAATGTCACACTTCATTTCAGGACCAGCTCTTCAATTTCCATGTTTTAGTTATTAGACCCTAGAAACTATCTTGACTGTTTTCTTTTGCTCCAGCACTTCTAACCAGTATTTCCCTACTGTGGGCTATTGTATAGAACAGGTTCTTCTGAAAAGCTTCTCTCCTGCTCTTCAGTCCCTGAAGCATGATCTTCCTTTTGAGATCTCCAAAGAATTTTTTCACTAGCAACAATAGGGAAATTGAGGGGATGAAAATAACAAGCATAAAGAAATAACCATTTCAGGAGATTCTTAAAAGTTTACGGAAGTTGTCCCTAGTTGTTCCTTGAGCGACAAATGGAGTTAGGCTCCTTTGTAGAACAGGGCTTAGCAAAGTATGGAATATAAATTTCCTGTTTCTGTAAGGCCAGTGAGCTAATGATGATTTTTACATTTTTAAATAAAGTTTTACTCGACCTA